CCCGCTCCTCCCCCTCCCCCCGCCCTGCCGCTTCCCTCTAACTTGTGAATAGCTACCATTTATTGTTAACTTTGGGTCACACAGTTTAAGTGCTCTCATTTAATTTCAGGTAACCTGCACCTGCATAGACTAAAATGTGAACAGTACCTCCTGGAGGTGTGCAGTGTGGTGTCCTATTTGGTACTCTCTTGCCTCTCAGGGATGTATTGTTATCTCCATTTCACTGACAACTGAGGCTCAGAGAGGTCGCGTTAACTTGGTCATACAGTGAGTTTGTGGCAGAGCTAGGACTGATTTGTAGTCAGGTCAGTCCAAGTCCAGTGGTTTTTCACTCTCACGTGTTGTGTTGCTCACCTTCCACCTTCCAGCACCGGAGGGTAGGGACAGTGTGTTCTAAGTTGAACACACAGAGAGCACCTAGTGAATGTCGGACGGTGGCGGTGTTGGTCACAGTGGGCTCAACCAGCGTTGATCATTCAATTAACAAGTCTTCCCAGAGTGCCTGGGAGCTCTGGGGAGCAGGAACGGGCCTATTCTGTTCACTGCTATACTCCAGCACCGGGCAGTGCCTGACACATAGCACATGCTCAATGAATGATGCTGAATTCAAGACTGTTCACTAAAATAATAAAACAACAGAGTAAATAATATAATATAAGCTAACATCTATGGAGTGCCTACCACAAGTTAGCTCTCAGGGAGTTTCCAGGAGAGTTAAAGAGAAATATAACACTGATGACAAGGGATACCTTGTGGAGATTTACATCAAAAAAGTATCTGTGTTGCCCTGGCCAGGGTGGCTCAGTTGGTTTGGCGTCATCCCGTGCACCGCAAGATTGCCAGTCGATCCCCAGTCAGGGCACAGGCCTGGGTTGTGGGCGCTATTCCTGGTCAGGGTACGTGCGGGAGGCAGCTGATTAGTGTTTTTCTGGCATATTGATGTTTCTCTCTCTCTCTCCCTCCTTTTCCCTTCTTCTTTCTCTAAAACCAATAAAACAAAATATATATTTACAAAAGTATCTGTGTAAAGGCGGTGAGAACACCAAAGAAAGAAAGATGGTCAGGAGCCTTCTTACGGTGTTGGAGGCCACGCCAGCAGCTCGAATACACTGCCTGCCGAAGCACACAACCCTAAATTTTCCATCTACATCCACGGTTCTGCCTATTGGGAACACATCGGGGTGCTTTTGTTGCCTCTCCAGACTGGATAACCAGAGTGCTGGGGGCTATGAGATAATCACGGGAACTGGTGATACTTAGCTTGGAGAAGAAAACGTAAGTCATACTTAACACCCGATGGGCTGCCCGTGGGCAACAGCCCTGGGCGGCCCCCGAGGAAGAGCCCTCTCTGGAGATGGACCAGAGAAGCAGGGAGCCTGCTGGGCTGTCTCTCCAGCACCCGACGAGGCCTTACGCCCTACAGCACACGCCCTGCACACTTGCCCACACAGCAAACGTTTATTAACTGTCATCTGTGGCCTACTGCAGGCTAGGGAAATGAGAATGAATAAAACAAGCTCGCAACCTTAGAAAACGGGAGTCCCCCGGGGAACAGAGTCAGGAAGGCTTCATCCTGTGGCCTTAGACGCCTTATTATGTGGCCCACTGGGTCCTGCCCCAGCCACCGCTGAAGGCCACTTTCTTCCTTGTATTCTGAAGGGTTGGGCATCATGGCAGGTAATCAGCAAGTACAGGCATCTCTGTAGAGGGGTCCTGGGATGGGAACTCCAGCTGAATCAACACTCTCCGGGGGCCGAGGGGAGCTGGGTCCTCTGCCCCCTTAGATCCTTTCGAGTCCAGACAGGCTTTGACCATGGTGTCTTCCAGCCCCATTTCCGTAAACACTGATTGACCTTTGCCGGCTGTAGTGACATGTCAAATTGATGTCCTCCAATGCTAAATTCATACCAGTCTTTATCTTCTGTTCCCTCCAAGCTCCTCAGGCTACAGTGACAGTTGTGGTTCAGCAAGTAGTGTGACACTCTTGAGTGGTGCTCGGAAAGCAGGCTCCGGCTGCTGCCTTGTCTGTCACGGACTGGTCAGTGCTAGACCCGACAGAATACATTTCTTATTGTGAAACAATACTTACGCAGAAAAATCCCCAGAACACATATTCTGTTTAATAAGTATAAAATATGAAGCAACTACGTGTATAACCACCACCAGGTCCAGAGATAAAACAATGTCAACACCCTCAAAGACCCCTGTGTGCCCCTCCTAATCACAACCCCAGCCCTCCCCTGTGGTCACAACTAAATTGACTTTTGTGATAACTTCTGTTTATATTTTGCCTCCTCTGCATGTGTTCTTAAACAGTACAGGCCAGTTTTGCCAGTTGTTAAACTTTTCATGAAAGAACTTATGTAGATGTTCTTTTGTGTTTCACTTACTATGTTGATGAGAGTCATCCATGATGACAGTATTATTATGCAAATGTTACAGTACTGCAAGCCGCTGTGGTCCATTCACTGTCACTGCAGAAACATTGCACAAGGTGTTTATACTCTCCAGCCGTGATGAGCAAGCATTTGTGGAGTCTTCCTGGTGCGGTGTGGATATCTGGTGCACACGGGTAAGAGTTTGGTTAGGGAACATTCTGAGGAGTGGGGCTGCTGGGATATAGGGTATATCTACTTTCATCTTTACCAGATCACTTATGTACCTTTTCATTATGAAAATGTTTCTCAGGGAAAGAGTGCTGTAACATGCCAGCCTTGTCTGGGTTAGAGAAAATAAGACATGCCTGCCCTTACAGTCTGACTGCCCCACCCTCTGTCCTCAGAACCTGGTCCCTTCCCTGTAGCCCAGCTACCCTCTCCCTTCCCCTGACGCCCAGAGGGTTGGGGCCCCTCAGCAGCAGGCTCCTCTCCGGCCTCCATCCCTCAGTGATGAAGCTGGGTGGGGGTGGGAGGAGGTTGAGAATGAGGAAGTGGAAACCAAATATGAGGGCCACAGAGAAGTCTGGCCCACAGACCTCAATGTTTCAGCAGCACACTCCGTGGGGCAGGAACATGCAGGCTGCCCGTGGAGCATGCTCAGCAGGTCCCAGGCCCACCTGTGCCAAGGTGCGCTACCGGGCCAGCCGCCACTCTGCATGCACTGGGTTCCTGTACATAAGATGCTCTGTGCAATCCTCACCCCAACCATGTGAAGTGGGTGTTATCATTCCCATGTCACAGGCGAAGACACAGGCACAGAGACACTGAGTAACTGGCAATGTATTAGAGCAATTAATAGTGTGGGAACTGGACCTGTTTAAATTGTGGCTTCCCTACTCTCTGGTGCAACTGCAGACCAGTTACCTGACTTCCTTTGGCCTCACTTTCCTCATTTGTAGAATGGGCTAACTGACTCACAGGGCTGTCGAGAAAGTTCAAAGAAATAATGTGTAGAAGGAGCTTAGCGAGTGCCTGCCAAAGGAGGAATGAGCAGAACTATGAAATGGGAACCATGGAGTTCTGAGGTGGACAGCCAGGACATGGTGGAGAGTACGAGAGGGTGGGGGGACAGCTCATATTGCCAAGCTGGGACCAGGCCACCAAGCTGAGGGAGCTGATCCGGTGCTGTGTGAGGACTCGGTCAGCAGAGTACTGGCCATGTGAACTTTGAAATTCGGCATCCAGGCGGTCCTGTTCCCCTGGCACCTTTGCCCAGAGCTCTCTACCTATCTGTGGCTACTTCAAAGGGCAGTGATTCGTGACAAGGAGCAGCTGGATCCCTGCATGTGTGGGAGCTTCCACCCAGCTTCAGTGCTCGTCTCCAGGAGGCCACATTGGCAGGCGGCAGCAGTGGCAGCCAATGGGCAGCAAGCCTGTTGCTAAGGTCACTGGTAAACCTTATTTGGCGACATCCAGCTGACCCTGCATTAACCTCTGAGAACCCTGGGAAACGCCAACCACAGATGTGAAATGAACGTCTCAAAACCACAACTGCATTTCCTTTGAGAAAAGATTTGGCTCTTCTCTCCAGCCTGCCTCTTGGGCTGGACACCTTTTGTAATACTTTGCAGCTTCGAGACGGAAAAGCCTGGGCAGGCCTGGGCAGGGCTACTGCACAGGTGGCCGCAGAGCCCAGCAAGGACATCGAAGTCTTCTGTTCTCACCCTGGCAGGCGACCCCTGGCCAGGCCTCCCCGCTCACACCCTGAGCGTTCCTGGCCCCATTTCCTGCAGCCTTGGGAAGCGGCTGGTATGAGGAAGACCCACGGCGCACAGGGAGGAAGTGGGCCTGCCCGGCCCTCACCATCTGCCCGGCCACACCGCTCTGGTGCGGCCTACAGCTCAAACGGTCGGCAGTTTCAGTTTTTCACCTCCTTCTGGTGTATCTTCTAGCTTAAGATTAAATAAGTTAATTAAATGTTGCCCCACCCCAAAGGTGGGAGGGAAGCTGTGCCTTCGGTATTTTCAAAATAATACTCTTTCCTCATGTTTGTTCGGCACCTTCGATTCTGGAACTGTGCTCACATTTGCCATCTTGTTGGCTCCTCACAAGCCCGGCAAACGATGACTGAGCCCTCACCACGTGTCAGGAACATGAATCAACTCACAGAATCTGCTATAACTGTTCCCATTTCACAGGAGAGAAAAATGAGGCAAAGAGGGATTCAGTAATTGTCTCAGAGTTCACGTAGCCCGTGAATGACAGAGCTGGGATTTTATTTTAGCCCAACTCCTAACTCTGACCTATTACCTTCTGTTACGTCGACTTTCGAGGTACATACTCCAGAACAAATTCCATTTATGAGTGGGAAGGTGAGGCTGAGAAGACTAAAGGGTGGTGTGTGGCCTGAAGCCAGGGCTGCTTTTCCTGTCCACGTCTCTTCCCAGAGGACCATCTACCTGCATCTTTCACTGTCCTTTTTCAGTCCTCACCCGAGGATATTTTTTCTCATTGATTTTTAGAGAGAGTAGAAGGGTGGGGGGAGGGGCAGAGAGAGAGAGAAAGGAAGAGAGAGAGAGAAAGATTAATGTGAGAGATTGGTTGCCTTCTGCATGTGCCTGGACGGGGGCCAGGGAATCAAACCTGCAACCCAGATAGGTGCCCTTGACCAGGAATCGAACCTGAGACCCCCTCAGTGTGCAGGCTGACTCTCTAACCACTGAGCCACATCGGCCATGGCTCACTGTCCTTTTTTTTTTTTCATTTTTTTTTTTTTTAATATATCTTTATTGATTTCAGAGAGAGGAAAGGAGAGGGAGAGAGAGAGAAACATCAATGATGAGAGAGTCATTGATTGAGCCCGCAACCCGGGCACGTGCCCTGACCGGGAATTGAACCCCGATCGCCTGGATCCTAGGTTGATGCTCAACCACTGAGCCACGCCCGGCCGGGCTCACTGTCCTTTTTTGTCACTGTCATCCCCCACCCCCGAGCTTGCCTCCTGACCCACAGGGTAAAAGCAGCTTTTCTTTTCTGGGCAGCCCAGAGAGCTAAGAGGCTACGTGAGCCCATCTGTCAGATACGGGAGGCAAAGCCAGGGCCTCGGAGAAGGTGCCACAGGACACCCCTCCCCATGCCCCCCACCTTCCCATTAAGCCTGTGGGCCTCAGAAACCCCTGCGCACACCAAAGTATTCCAAGGGCTGGGGTCCTGGGCAGCAGGGCAAGGGCATTTGTCTACAGCATCCTCAGCTGAAGGTCATCTAGGGCCTGGGGTGGGGTTGGACCCTGAGGAAAGCTGGTGCAGGTCCCTTGCTGGAGCACTGTCCTTCTCTTGGACTCTTCAGGCCACCCTCACCCACAGAACACACACTTTTTTGTGCACCTACCATGTGTCAGGCACTATTCCAAGCACTGAAGATGCAAGAGCAAACACCACACACCAGGCTGCGGGCCTCACAGGTTAGTTCCAGTGATGGAGACAGACATTAGGTAAATAATCCTACAGATGACTGACTAGCCCAGGGTGCTAAGAAAGTGCACTGTCAGTGTCTCATCTAAGGAGCGCCTGGGACTGGGGATAGGGCAGCATTCCTTGAAGAAGGGGGGACGGTGTGGAGTTAGTGGGTAGGGACAGTTCTTGGCCCCTTCCCCACTGTCCTCTCCCCCGCATTCCCGTCCCTTCTGAAATCGGCTTCCATGAAAGCTGTCCTGCTGGTGTCCACGCTGCCCTGAGCGGTGCCTTCACCCTCGCCGGCAGCTGCTTTTGGTGTTGCTGCCTGGGTGAGCCGGCTCCCGTGTGTGTTGGGGAGACCAGAAGAGAGAGGGCTGGCAGTTCTTGATCTTTGATCCTCAGCTAAACTCAAGCACCTCCATCCCCCCTTCAAAGTCCTGCATGTGCAAGTGAGGAGCCCTGGCTGGCCCAGAAGGTGAAGGCAGCTGATAGGGCACGAAGCTGCTGGTGGGAAATACTTAATTCTCAGAAACATTTTCAGATTAACCATTTGCACGTTCAGAGGTACTTAAGTACCTCTGAAAAGACTTTTTCAACCTAAAGCGTGAAATTATCTTTCTCTAGAGAGGAAACCCTCCTAGGGGTGGCAGCGAGCCAGGCAGCCTTAGAGGAAGCTGGTGAAGCTGGGGCCCTCCCGCCAGCACCTCCCCACCTGCATGCAGGCTGCCAGGGGGGCGGGTCGGTGCACTAGCTGCCAGGCCACTTACAACACCCTCGTGGCCGTCACTAAACACGCTTCTCCTCCCCTCCTCTGCGCCTTTCTCCCTGTGGAAAAGGAAACCCAGCACTTGGGGTTTTGAGGCTGCGATTTCCAGTTTCATTTTCCAGTTTCCATCTAGAAGCATCTCTGCCAGCTCTCTACTCCCTCAAGGCACCACAGAAGAGCTGAGAGGAAGAAAAAAGGGTCCCAGCCAGCACCCTGCTCCCTGGGGCTCTCAGAGGGTGGGGGCAGGTCAAACCCCCTGTGGGCGAGGTTGTTAAAATGCAAATTCCTGGCCCGGCAGTCTCTGAGGTGGTAGGTTTGTGCTCCTCTGATTCTCATGGGACCTGTGGACCCGGCTCTGTCAGTCACAGCCTCAGAGCCATCAGGGCAGTCAGGGCACAGTGAGCACAGCCCAGTGCTCCTCCAAGGCTCTTCCCACAGGCGCTTGTGAAACTTTGTTTGGCACCCTTGCCCCTTCCCCCCCTGGCAGCAGACACATTTCAGATGTCAGTTCTTTGGGACTCGAGGTCTGTGGGAAGTATAGTCTTCACACAGCTCCTCTCTTCCCCACACTCCAAATTTCCCTCTAAGATGCTAATTCACAATAGGTATTAATAGAAACAGGACAAAAAAGAAATTTTTTACGAAAAGCCCTTGGGTCCTTTGGCGCTTCTCCCTTGTCCCGTTTATTTATAATTCACAGCCTGTCTAATTTCTAAAGGAATATAAGGGCATTTCTATCTGTTTTTTCCGTGTGT